TGCCACAAGAACCGGGTCCTTCACCGCGACCTGAAGCCTCAGAATCTTTTGATCAACAATAAGGGCCAGCTCAAGCTGGGTGATTTCGGTCTTGCCAGGGCGTTCGGCATCCCCGTCAACACCTTCTCGAACGAGGTCGTCACGCTCTGGTACCGCGCCCCTGATGTTCTGCTCGGTAGTAGGACCTACAACACGAGCATCGACATCTGGTCAGCCGGCTGCATTATGGCCGAGATGTTCTCGGGTCGGCCTCTCTTTCCCGGCACGACCAACGAGGACCAGATCATCCGCATCTTCCGCATCATGGGGACGCCGACGGAGCGCACGTGGCCGGGATTGTCGCAGTTCCCCGAGTACAAGACGACGTGGCAGATGTACGCGACGCAGCCGCTCACCAGCATCCTGCCGCAGATCGATCCGCTCGGCATCGACCTGCTGCAGCGCATGCTTCAAGTGCGGCCCGAGCTGCGCATCTCGGCCGCTGACGCCCTCAAGCACCAGTGGTTCGCCGACCTGATGGTTGCCCAGGCCCCGCACAACATGCATTCGCAGCAGCAGCATCTCCAGCAGCAGCAGATGATGCACCCCCATGGCGGCTACCAGCAGACTGTCCCAAGCCAGGGCTACTCTGGCGGCTATTAGTGTTTGCCGCCGGGTGCGCCTGCATATAACTACTATCCCTGAACGGGATTTTGGACAGAAGCAACCGAAGAAGGGCAGTGAAGGTGGTCCGCGGAGGTCCTTTGACGGAGCGGTGGATACCAGGTATACCAGCTGGGGATTTATACCAGTTTCTGGCCACTGACCTGCTTAATCGTGGTCTATCTGGGGTGACAGCTTCCCCCGACAGACGGTTGGATGCGAACGCTTAGACCGAGCCTGGTGCAGCATCCCCTCGCGATTTTGGTCGCCACGCCTTGTGCTGGCAGGTAATGGTAAGGGAGAAATCATTCATGCCGACATTCTTGACATGGCCTGGTTGCGGCAATGAGTGGACGGAGGAGGCTACGTACATGGTCATGATGACGATTTTTTGGGTCTCTCACTTCATGCGGCAGATGGGGCGGTGGGGGGGGGAGGTAATGGACGGGAAGGGCTGCGGTGGTAGCCTGTATGAACAGGGGGTAGTTTCGGGGTAGAGAGCATAGCCGATAGAGCGTATTTTCATATGCATGATTCTTTCTGATTCTTTTCAGATATGGTTCACAAGGCATCAAGGACCTCAAGGGGTGCTTTGAAGGACATGCAGATAGGCAGCGCGTCTGTGCTGTTTATGTAGGTAACATGGTCACAGGGATACCCACAGTTGCTGCACCAGGCATCAGGCGATCTTCCGGTATCTGCATAACGATAACCTTAATTCATCCCCATGCTCCACCTTTCGTGGTCATTGGCCTTTGGGTGCGTGTTCGCGTGCTTCCGACATCCGGCTTCACTCCACACAACCTACGACCAACTCCCATCTGGATGCCTTACGATGGGCAGCACCCAACTGCCACTCAAAACTGTGGTCTCCCGCCGTTCTCTTTAGTCGGTGCCAGCCCATGCCCAAACGCTTTTGATAACACGATCGCTACCCACAACCGCCGCGATGGATTCACGGAGAGGTACGTTCGCGTCACCCTCCCTCCCAACTCGTGCTCCTTCCCGCACCTCCCAAAGCTAACCACCATTTCTCAACCGCAACAGACGAGGAGGCCACCATAAAGGTCGCCTCCACAAAAAAATCTGTTACCCCCCGACCGCAATCATTCGGCAAGATCAAACTCAGAAAAGCCCCGCCAAAACAAGCAAAGCCCGGCAATTGGAAAGAGGCCAACGTCGTCGAGGGTTCGCCTCTCCAACCACTCCCACCATTCCAACCCCCGCACACTAACTCTTTACATGCAGAAGACAAGAAAAAAGCCAAAGACAATGCGATAACTGCCACGTCCCCCAGCCCCGCCACGAACCAGCTCGATGACATGAGCCGCGAGACCTTCACCACCGGCCGCCCGCTCGAGGATCTCCCGGACATGTTCCAGTGCAAGCACTGTAAGAAAGGCATTACGCGGTCCGCCTCGAGCGAGCACATCGCTCAGTGCCTGCGCATCAAGAAGGAGAAGGCCCAGCGCAAGAAGGAGGCCCGTGAGGCCCGCGAGCGGCTGAAGGAAGCTGCACGGGAGGAGGAGGCGCGCAAGGCGGGCGAGGATGGGGCCGGCCAGGGAGATGATGATAGTGACGATGATGATGAGAGGAAACTTGGGAATGCGGGAAAGACGACGGGGAAGGCGAAGAAGAATGTTGCTGGGAAGAAGCGAAAGGCGGAAGGGGATCTCGACAAGGGCAAGGCGAAGAAGAAGAAGGACGATCCTAAACCCAAGGTCGCGAAGCCCAAGGGGCCTGTGGATGTGGAACGGCAGTGTGGCGTGCTGCTGCCCAACGGCCAGCCTTGCGCGCGCTCACTGACGTGTAAGAGCCACAGCATGAGCGCGAAGCGAGCCGTGCCCGGCCGGTCTTTGCCGTACGATATGCTTCTGGCGGCGTACCAGAAGAAGAACCAGGCGAAGCAACAGAAGGCCGCCATTGATGCCAATGCGCCGCTGGAGGATGAGGACGACATCAATGCCGGGACAGTCGACAGCGACGAGGAGACGGCCGCCGTCATGTCGGCCCTGGCGAACTGGAACCCGCAGCCCGTCGTGCCGCAACCTGTTTTCCAACCGACGAAACGGCAGTACCAGCTGGCGCGTTTGCACGAGCAATTGCAAACAGCCACGAACGGCGGCCGCGTCAACATCTTTAAGGTCGTCGGCTTCGGCGCCCAACGGTTACCCGACGGCCACCCCGGGCTGGGCGGAGATTTTGAGGACGCGCCGGGCGAGCCCGACAACTCGGTCACCATGGTGGACTCTTCGCGGCGCTCGTCGAGTTTTGGCCTTGGTGGTCCCTTTCAGCGACGGCCGTCGGTCTCGGGTCGGGCGTAGAGCGACCGATCTACGAGTTTACTGGAGGTTGTTTCTAAGTCGCAGAGGGAGGTGCAGTTGCAGCAAGTACGGCAGCAGTGGCGACAACAGATGAGCGGGGAGGATTCAGCTTTATATTCATGGAGTAAGTTGGTACCGGATACAACTGTGGACAGTCCGCGGAGGCCATCAGGAGTCCGGCGTAAGAGTTTAAACGCAGCGTCTCTTGGTGCCATTCCTGCTTCACAGCAACAACCCCCGGAAGCAGTCCAGCTGCCGCACCCAACAACCCCCGAACCAGCCTTCCCCTCGATCAACCAACCCAACCGCAGCGACGAAAAACCTCGCCGCTCAAGCATCAACAACCGCACCCACCAAATCTTCCAACAAATGCGCGCCGAAGCCGGCCAACCCCTGACCCTCGGCCCCTCCCATCCCCGTCTATCCCGCCCGCCCACGCCCAAGAGCAACTCCTCGCCCAGATTCAGGCGCGCGCGAAGCTCCAGGCTGAGGCCTACCTTAAAACCCAGCAGCCGGCACATCCTGCGGTACGGGCCAAGATGCAGGCGGAGCTGGAGAGGAAGTTTGTCGCGCAGGATCTGTTGGCGCTGAAGGCGCGGACGGAGGTCAGGCCGAGGGTGAGGTCAATTGGGGAGTTGGAGATGGAGGAGTGGGGAAAATTGGGGTTGAGAGAGGCGGAAAGGAAGAGGGAGGTGGCGTGGGGAGGTTGAGGGAGGTTGAGTGGAGGTTGGGTATGGGGAAGGGATGGGGCGCGCGGCAGAGAAGGTTCAGACACACGAGAGGGTTGGACCTTCCACTCTATCTCTTCCCGAGCTGCAGGCACACACCAAGTGTCTGTCCTGGCTTCAAGCCGAACCCCAAACTCACTCCCACCCCCAACCCCAAGTTCAAACTCGAACACAACTCGAACTCGAATATCAAGAATTCATGACCGAATCGCAGCCACAACCCCAAAATGGCCTTGCACCACAACCCGAAATTCAACCCCCGAACAGCAACCAACACCAAATCTTCTCTTCATCCTCCCCCCTCCTCCAGGTAACATTCCCCGCCGAATCGCTCGCCGCCGCCATCGCCATCACAGGCAGCCACAACTTGCGTCCCACATATGCCCTGCCGCCCTATCCTTCACCTAGGTTGGCTGTGTATGGCGCCGCGCTGACCTCGCCTTCGACTGGGGTTGCTATTGGCGGGGTGGGGGCTTTACATGGTGTTGGTGTTGTGGGAGATGTGCAAAGCGAGGTTAGGAGGAAGGAAATTGGGGTAGGGGTTGGGATTGAGGTTGGTGATGGGGGTTTGAGTGGGTGAGAATGGGAACTGGGGGAGGAGAGGGAACGGGGTGAAAGGGTGCTGGTGCTGATACCAGGTTGGGATGGTCTCATAAGACGGTGTTGTTGTACTTTTCTTTTTCTGTTTTCTTTTCCTTCTGCGCATGCGTGGTGGTGGGAAAGGGGAGAGTATATACCCTGCGTGCGTGATACCGGTTTTCTATTTTTATTTTTATTTTCCCTTTTCCATTGGCGCTTGGGGTTTGGCCTCTGGCCTGGACCTGGGATGGCTCTAGATGAATAAGGAAGGCGTTGGGAGGGTGGCCCTCGTGTTTTTGCTCTGCGCATTTGAGGCTTTGGGATGGGGGTACATGGAGGTTTGGCTTGTGCATGAGGGGGGAAGTGGAAACACATGATTCTTGGGCGTGCATCGTCGGATTGGGTGGGCTGCCGTCGTCTTTGTGTACTTTGTATTGCACGGTTTGGTGATAGGGTACTGTAGGGACACATACCAACCTGAAACATATTTTTCATGAAACATTTTCCCTTTCCTCCCATTCCCTTCTCTCCATGCCTCCATTCCCACCCTCTCCATCCATGGTTCCGTTCACAAACCCTCTTCTCCACCACCCGGCCCCATGCTCGGAGTCTGGCCCATCCATACCCCATCCCAAAACCCCAATCGTTCCACACCCTCTTTCAACAATCTCTCAATAAACCCCATCTAGCGCTCCCCAACCCCATCACATCACACAACAACAAGCAAGGGCGTGTGGCTCAGTTGGTAGAGCGTTCGCTTAGCATTCCTAGTTCATCTCTTTCTCGTCAGAGTCAGTGTCTGTGTTCCGGTTATGCGAAAGGTCCTGGGTTCGATTCCCAGCTCGTCCATTGGGGTACTTCTGTGTGTGAGGGGCGTGTGGCTCAGTTGGTAGAGCGTTCGCTTAGCATTTCTGGTTGATCTTCTCTCCGAGAGGAGGAAGTTGAAACGGTTATGCGAAAGGTCCTGGGTTCGATTCCCAGCTCGTCCAAAGTGGATATCCTAACTTTTTGAGAGAGTTTGGGTTTGATTTGTTTTTGTTTTGGAAGAGATTTGTCTTTTCATGGGGTCTCTCATTGTGTAGGATGTGGTGACAGTTAGTGACCGAGAAAGGAGAACAGGGTTACGTTGTCTGTGACAGGGTGCTGAGGCAGGAGGACAGGAGAGCAAAAGGTGAGACGAGAAGCGCAATTTTCACAGAAGTCAAATGAGGCGGCAATGTTCATTTTTCTCAAATCTTTAGAAGCAAAAGGAGTCCAACCATGTCGATCATGGAAACTCACAAGCATGATGCGGTGTTTCGGATCGGACCCGAACCCTCGGAAACTAAATGCGGGATGACGTCGTTGCTGGGCGTCGCAGACCTCGGCTTACACCAAGTAACCCGTTACCAACACGGCCAGCTTCGAGGATATATCATCCAAAGGCTTGTTCAAATCTCTATCGGCATTCCCAATCTTTGCATGAATCTTTTTATTGAATATACCCATGACCTTTCCGCCACCTCTTCCTCTATCTACGGATACCCCTTAACCCTTGCCCTTTAACACTCTGACTACCACTACCCCCTTTAACCATCACCGCCATCCATAACAATCCCAGACCAAATACATACCAGATACAAACAAAGCCAATACCAAACCAAGATCAATCTCCTCTCCAAACCCATACATCCCAACCACCAAAGAAAATGAACGATTCCCTCCTCCCCGCCCTCTCCCACGCCCTCTCCGGCTCCCTCGGCACGACCCTCTCGACCCTGCTCACCTACCCCCTGGACTTGGTGACCACCCGGCTCAAGGTTCAGAGGCAACTGCAGAGTGATGGTGCGCTCAGTGCACAAAATGCTTATGATGGGCTTTGGGACGCATTTGTGAGGGTGTATGAGACGGAGGGAGGTGGGGGGTTGTTTGAGGGGTGGGCACGGAGGTTGGGAAGAGCGCGGTTGATGGGGATTGTGGTTTTTGTTTTATACTGTAAGTTGTCTCATCTATTTTCACTTTCTTGGTTTGCTGGGAAATTGTGGTGGTCGGGGCCCCTGGGGGTTGTGGGTGGACTGGAGGTTGAGGTTTGGTTGTGGAGGCGGGGTGTTCGTTGGTTGAGACATACTTGAGTTTGGGAGCTGATCAGCGAGCAGTGGTTCCGCGCAAGCAGACTGCTCAGCAGCGACAGGAAAGACCTCCCGCCGTATCTCCGGGTCGCGGAAGAGCTGGCGGTGGGGGCGGCCGCGGGCGCGTGTGCGAAGCTATTCACCACGCCGGTGAGCAACGTTGTCACAAGGCGGCAGACGGCGAGATTGCTTGAGAGCAGCAGCAACGACAACAAAGACGATAGCAGCCCCCAGACCATGGCGCAAGACCGAAGCTTCGCCGAAATCGTCGAGGAAATCAGACAGGAGCGCGGCGTGCTCGGGCTTTGGGCCGGGTACTCGGCGAGTCTGGTTCTGACGCTCAACCCAAGCATCACCTTCTTCCTGCAGCAGATGCTGAAGCGGGCGGCCGTACCAAGGGAGAAGTGGGAGGAGCCAGGAGCTGGGACGACGTTCCTGCTTGCGGCGGTGAGCAAGGTGGTTGCGACGGCGGTGACGTATCCGTTTTCAATCGCCAAGGCGAGGGTGCAGGTGTCGGCGCCGTCGGGGGGTGAAAAGGAGGGGGAAGGGAAGAAGACCATCTTTGCTACGGTGCTGGGGATCGCAAGGGCCGAGGGGCCAGGGGCGTTGTATGATGGGATTGGTGGGGAGCTGCTAAAGGGGTTCTTTAGCCACGGCACGACGATGCTGTCCAAGGACATCATTCATGGGTTTATTGTGCGGCTTTACTTTGCCGTTTTGGCTGCTTTGAGGAGGCATCCCCAGTTTAGGCTGAGGCTGTCGGATAAGATGAAGAAGGCCCGCGAGGACGCACGGGAGCGCTATCTCCGGGCTTCGTCGTCAGGGGTGAGTGAAGTTCGAAAAGGGGCGCGCTATGTCAAGAATGCAGTTGATTCGGAGACACAGAAGGCCGCCAGCCTCCTCAGTGGAGGCCTTGGGAAGACAGGCAAATGAGACGAATAGACAGCCTGACGATAAGCCAGGCCCATTTCCTGCGTTGATTGTGTCTGGCATGCCATCATTTTCTCTTCAGCCGAGCACAACGCCATAACAAGCCTAACAGGTGAACATCACCCCGTTCTTCTTGACCGTGTTGTTCCCGCCTGCTGTGAACCCGGTGCCCTCCCGACGCAGCTCAACTAGGCCAGGCCGGATTTTCTCCTTTTCTGCCTTGCCTTCTTTCTTGCCAGACTCTTTTTTTTCCGCCAGGTTAGCCTCGCAAACATAACACCGTAAGGGCTCTCCGTTGGCCGGCTTCATAAACTGGTCCACGCAGCTCTTGCAGAGGACGTGCCCGCACGGCTTCGCCAGCGTTGCCCTGGAGGAGTTTGTCAGGCTCTTGGTGCAGGCGGGACATATCCTCTGTGGCTTCTTCGTTTTGGAGTCGGTTTCTTCGGTGAAGTTGACGGTGATAAGGGTGTGTAGTGAGTAGTGATGCGGTTCGTTTTCGGAGGAGGCTGGGCAGGTCGGCTGTGTCTTAATCTTCTTTTTCACTTCGTATAGCGTATTGTTGCTACTTGATCCTGGTGTTACTGTCGGCGACCAGAAGGAAGGCAATGTCGGTTTTGATGCCTGTTCAAGGAAGTTAGCTGAGAGTCAGGGGTAACCATGAACCCAACCCACCTTTTCATCGTCAATGGCTCTTCTCGCCTTTGCCCGCTCGTCCTCGGCAATACGGGCAACCTCGTCCGCATCAAGTGAAAACTTGCGCTTCTCCCCTATTTTTGGCCTCGTATCTTGTCCATTCTTCTCGCTCCGTGGTGTTTCACCCTGCGCCTCCCGCCCTGGCGTCTCCGTCTTCTCCCTCCCCCTCCGCCCGTACTCTCCCTCCTGATACTCAACCCCGCTTGCGTCATCTCAAACTCGCGCACCGCGCGCTCCTGCGCCTCTGAGTCCCGACGCGCCTTGTCCTCCAGGGCGTCCCGCTGCTCCTGCTCGCGGGCCTTCTCGGCGCGCTTGATCTCCTTCTTCTGCGCCAGGATGTTGCTGAGGGCGCACTCGCGGCAGAAGATGTCGCCGTGGGCGCACGAGACGGGGTCTATGGCAGGTTCGAGACACAACCAGCACGAGGCAAAGGGCAGGAAGGAGTCGCGCGAGAGGCGGGCGGTCGACGAGCCCCAGGCGGCGCGCGCCATGGCCCGCTCGTGGGACGTGAAGATGGGCCGGCTGGTGTTTCTTTTGCCTGGAAGGTCAGCCTTGATGTCAAATCCCTAATTATACCGATGTGACACTTACTGTGCGCCATTGTGGTGGTGACGAGCGTAACTCGGCCAGTTATGGGTTGGTGATGTTGAGGCTAGAAGCTGGAGCAGAGCTTCCGCTGCCAAGACTCGTCCAAGATCGATCCTCGCTTGCAACACAGACAGTGCGGGTCTAAGCTCTTAGCGCGCTGTGGGGGAACACACCCCCTGTCTGACATTTCTGCTGACACGTGCAAAAAGCGCCAGCTTCTCGCGTCTCGGCAATCTTTGACGCGACTTTTTTACAGGGTTGAGGGAATTGCCATCATCCCCAACAATTAACGTTGCAGAGTGGAACCTCGAAGTCTGGGGCGAATCGGTCGAAAGCTTCGATTGTTCCGGGTCTTCAATTGAAGATTCAGTTGTTTGTTCCTTGTTTTCGTTTTGTTAATGTGACCGCGAGTGTCCTGTACGACAGTCGAAACCACGGCCTCGAGATCATGTCTCCCTTCCCTTGAACCCGGCTCGGAAAATTTGAGTTTGACTTCACCTCAACGCCATGTCGGACCCCGTGTCGCCCTCTCACCAGAGGCCAAGCCTCTCATGGCGCATCAAGTCCGCCATGATCATGGGCATGACGGGTGTCCTCTCACGAGTCTTTTTGTACGGATTCAACAAGGTGGAGGTGACGGGGCTGGACCGGTTCCTCGCCATCTTAGACAGCCGTAAAGATCCCGCGAACAGGAAGCGCGGGCTCCTGACTGGTGCGACTCGAGATACCTTAGCCCAAATCTAATATATGCTGACCTCCTGTAGTATCTAACCACAAGTCTGGGGCATCCTCCCCCTGCGCTATTCCTTCGACCCGTCCAACCTACGCTGGACCCTCGGCGCCGCCGACATCTGCTTTGCCAACAAGTACCTCCCCTCCCGTCCCCTTTGACCCAACCCACCTACTAACCTCTCACAGATTTCTCTCCTCTTTCTTCACCGCCGGCCAAGTCCTCCCCTGCCACCGCCTCAAACACTCCCCTACGGCGGGCCCTTCCAACCGGCCTCACCCAAGCCATCCGCCTCCTCTCCACGCCCCAACCACCCCACCCCAATCGGAACTAACCTACACCACCACCGGGCACGACACCCACCTCTCTCCCCTCTCCTTCCTCCTACCGCCGCTACAGCTGGGTGCACGTCTTCCCCGAGGGCTGCGTGCACCAGCACGCGTCGACCGACCTGCGATACTTCAAATGGGGTTTAGCGCGGCTGATTCTTGAATCCGACCCCGCGCCGGATGTGCTGCCGATGTTTATTGATGGTACGCAGCGGGTGATGCACGAGGACCGCGGGTTTCCGAGATTTTTGCCGAGGGTTGGGAGGACGGTGAGGGTGGCGTTTGGGGAGGTGTTGGATTATGAGGGGTGTTTGGGGATTTGAAGAGAAGGTGGGAGGGGTTGGTGAAGAGGGATGAAGAGAGGAGGTTGAGGTTGGAAGGGGTGGATATGGGGAGGAGGGAGATGAATGGTGGGAATGGGGGTGGGGAGTTGGAGAGTGAGGAGTTAAAGGTGGGGGGGAGGCGAGGAGATTCGGATTGAGTGTGCGATGAGGATGAGGGCTGAGATTTTGAAGGTGAGGGCGAAGTTGGGGTTTCCGGAGCCGGATCCGGAGTTTGCGTTGGCGGAGACGTGGAGGGCGGATGAGGGGGTTGAGGGGAAGAAATATAAG